GCATTCCGTTGTCATGGAGGCGGCTCACCAATCAGAGTGAGCCTCTGCCACTGCCTACACTCAGACTGTTTTTACTTAGTTCATCAAGCCAGCCCTGCCGCTTTACACTGCTGCTGCGCGCTGCCACTGCGCCCGGCCTCCACTGAAACCACCGCTGCCTGCCCCTGCCCACCGCCCTCTGCTCATTTGGGGAAAAGGAGCTGTGCTCAACCCACTCCACACCCGCCACCACTCCAGGTAGCTGCCACCACCGCCATGTCATAATAAAAGCCCGCCTCCACCGGCTCCCGGTTCTGCTTCGCCATGGCCTACCAGCAGCCTGTTGGAGACCAGCACCTGGTGGGTGCGTAGGACGGAGGGCGCCAGGTGAGCAGGCCTGGGTGCCTGGACGGCGAGGGAAGAGCCGAGCGGCTGGATGCGTGCTGGGCACGGCCCGGATGTGCCACACACCAGCCAGAGAGCCCTGGCAGCTCGCAGGGAGGAGCCGCACCTTGGAGGGGGGACCTGCTACTCCATCTTTCTAGAGCTCGTTGTATTAGTTTCACAACGGCCCTTCCTGCTAGTTCATATATATATGCATAATGTAGAGTGGTGGTGGTGGAACGTGCCAATCCTGAAGGGTTTCCAAAGCAAGAGATGCTCCATGGTGGTTTGCCATTGTCTGCCTTTGCATCACAACAGATATTCCTTGGTGGGCTCCCATCCAAATACTGACCAGTCTGACCCTGCTTAACTTCTTAATGAGATTGGGCTAGCCTGGGCTAATCCAGGTCAGGGCTGAATGTAGAGCAGCCAGGTGCAAAGCAGGATCAGCATCCTGTACCTTTAATAGCTGACAGAAGAGGAAACATGGCAGGTGCTGCCTGCTAGAGACAGTGGCCAAGAGCAAGGGTTCCCTCAACACTTTTGAAGCACTCAGACACAACCCAGACATCATATACAAACAACTGGGGTGCCAGGGTGATTTTTGCTTCTCCCTAGTTCCCCCTTCATTAGTAGCCCTGCACGCGGGGGGGCAAAACAGCTTAACCTGCTGAAATTCTCTCTTCTCCACACCTCTTAAAAGCTCAGAAGACCTGTTCGCCTTTGCAATATCAATATTCTTTTTAAAATATATATAGAGAGTTGGGTAGCCATGTTGGTCTGAAGCAGCAGAACAAAGTTTGAGTCCAGGGGCACCTTTAAGACCAACAGCAGAACCCAGCTCTTCAAACTGTCAGCTCTCCCTCCAAGCTTCAAGTCCTCAACTGCCTAATT